GCATAAAGGAAATTATAAATATGTCTAAAACCACTTTTTCAAAAAACAAACTGTCCTATAGGTGACTATTATGTATACAAATTTTGAAAACACTGCTTTTTTTCCCCAAATCTTGCTTCGATTCTGCCCTTTGTGTTTGTCACGTGTGAAGAAAGCTAAGGGCACCTGCAAAATTCATCGGTCTGGGAAATGACGTTGTGTGGGTTCAAGTGACTCAAAAACGTAAGTAAAGGAAATGGCCAGACCTGGTTTTGGCTCTTCAGCAAAGCGAAGTCTCCAGGGGCTCCAAGATCATCTGCAGGCTGAGCAGGGAATGGCACGCGCAGCGAAGCGCTCCCCTTCCTGGACTCCACACTGAAATCTGGCTGGACGTGAGAGCCACCATTAGCTCCAGTGCGTGGGCCCTGCTCTGCTCGGGAACCAGAGGGAGGTGTTCAAAGCTCAGCACGTCTCCGGGAGGAAATCCCTGCTGGGCACTTCCCTGCTCACGTGTGTCACTCTGATCTCTTCTACTGAGATAGGCTTCCCCTGGTGTAACGCAGCATTTACCGTGGGATTTGCGTGAGGAACCTGAAGCACCATTTAAAGGCTGCCTCTTTTCCCCCCACCGCAAAGTACCTGCTTTTGCAAATACCATGTGAGGGGAGGGCCTTTAGACTTGCAGTTGTTTTAACCTCTTAGCAAAGCAAGGATCTGTTCCCTCCCTCCCCCTTGGTTGCCAGCAGAATAATAAGCCCCACAGAATTAGTGCCTCAAAGGTTTCACTCTGAGTGTGTCACAGCTGTGGAAAATATATACCCCAGCTTTTCAGGCTGATGGCTTCCAACTGTATCCATTAACTGTCCCTGTTAATTCCCACTCAAGGCTGTTTCCCAGCATCAACCTTAGCAGGAAACATCCCAAAAATTGAAGGCTTAGCTTATATGACATCAAAACGTGAGGTGGTGAGTGTCTGAATGTTCTCAGTGTGCCCTGAAGGAGCCGCGTGGGCACATCGTGCAGGAGTCGGTAGTACATCACGGGTTGGGCAGGAAAAGACAAGGCCTCCCCAATCCTTCCAGCTTTCTTAAATGGTCTAGGATGTCCTCACCGGACAAAGATTTCTCCTCTTGCTATAGCTAGAAATGGTTACGAAATGTTCACTCTTTCTTTGCTGCAAGCTCTTCAGCGCGATGCTGGTGCTGCCTCTCCCCTCCATCTCATCTGCTGAAGTAACGTCCTGCCAAACAGAGCTACAGCAGATTCATGAGCTGCTTTCAACACCACGTAGTCTCGAGAGCATCCAACGGTGTTGTTTGTACTCACCTACAACACAGTTCCTCTGTCTGCAAGGCAACCTCCACCTGCTCCAGACCTGCGCAGCCAGGGCAATTTTTGGGTCTTAAGGTCAAAATCGGGACGCTCAGAGAGCGGCACGCTGCCAATGGATCCTGTTGATGGAGCTCACTACTCTTGTTTTAACGCCACGTTGTGCTGCCCTGGGCTTTTGGACTACCAGGGTCCTGCTAAACTGTCTGCTGGCAAAGAGTCACCCCCGGTGACGGAGAACTGGGCAGTGTGCCCTGCTGTGCAATGCTAGCCGGCTCAGCAGGGGGGTTGAACGTGGCACACGGGAGATGCCCGTGGCCGGCAGTGCAGCTGCCGTAGGGCCTGTGCATGCCCCAGTATTGACCTATCGTTACTGGGATCTTCACAGATCAGTCCCCTGAAGCCCCTTTCTCCATCCTTCTCTACCCTAATGTGGTAGAGAAGTTTCAGCTGTACCGGGTGGAGAGGCGCCACCCCGGGGAAGCAGCGAGGGAGGACGCAGTGCCCCGCTGAGGGAAGGGCTCCACGCCAACGCGTGGGGCTGAGCCAAGCGTGCTGTCAGCACAGCGGTAGCCCAGAGGCAGCTATGGCAAAGGGCTGCTCTGGACCGTGGGGATGCGGAAAGCTGTTGGTAGAGATGCAATTTTAAAATAAAAGTGATTTCCAGCACTCTGCCACTCCTGGAAGAGGTATTTATCTTCTTAATGGGATGGTTCCTATGTCAGAAAGTTGCCTCTTTTAAAACTCACATTTAGTGCAAGGGGAATATTCCTGTCAGTGCTTCGGCTGCACTTTGTTGAAGACACCATCTGCTGCAACACTCAGCCAGCTTGGCATTTAAAATGTCATTTAGACCGGAAAGCAGCTGAGCCTGGATACTGAGGCAGATGTCATCAGCAAAGGTGAACTTCCATAAATGAATGGGGTTGCTGATAAAAAGACTGAATTGCAGAAACATTTACAGATAGCTCTGTGGAAGACCGCTGATTTTTCTGCAGATGCTTTATTTCTCACACATGCCTTATGCAATCTGCCTTGGAGAAGCAACGTTACAAGAGATGTCAGTGAAATTCTGCATTTAAAATCCAGCATTTGCTGTT